CTGGGGGTGAATCCAGCTCCGGAACCAGCATCTCCAATCCTCCCAACAGAACTTTGCTCAGCCCAAGGCTACAACCTCGGCCTGACCCACCAGAACAGCCCAGAAACGAGTGCCCAAGCCCTGCAGCACCCGGCGTGGGCTGTGACCGTGGGAAAGGGAAAGGTTTGCCCCGGCCCCACACGCTGCCTCGTTTTTTCTAACAGTTTCAGGATAAAACTTCCCATGTGTGCACGCACCTCATGGGCTGCAGCACCAAGATGCTCTGCGACCTCATCCCTGGACCACCTGGGAACCACCAGGTTTGGTAAAGAAGTGCCCAGAAGTCACTCCTGGCAGGCAGTGATGCTGGAGTCACTTCCAGTTGGGACCGGGGCTGTTCCCTTCCTTCCCAAAGGTCCTTCCTCAGCACTGGCGGGTTTCTCGGGGAGCTGGGGAGCTCCCCAACACCCCAGCTGCTCACTAAAGAGCTGGAAGTTTGCCACAGAATTCCATCCTCAACTACAAACCCAACAAATACACAGATTTCTGGGGTTTTTTTCCCAGTAAAATGGTGAATAAGAGTGTTAATAATTGACCCAAGTTACTCTTCTTCAGTCTAGAGGCAACTCCTCCTCCTTTATACATAGAACTTAATGCCTATCGTGTTAAGCCTGTAATTTATCACTGCCATTTTAGGATCAATTTATTGTTCTGCAGGTCTTGTTCTCACTCAGAGTGTGCCTGTGTTGCTGAAAAGAACAACCTGAAACACTGTTGGGTTGCTGGTTGAGAGAGAGGAAAAAAAAAAAGAAAGATAATAATCCACCTTGCAGAAATGTCCTCTTCCCAGAATGTTAAACCTTTGTCCTCTGAGCAGAGCTTTAGGTGCTGTGTGCTGAGCAGACAAGGAGCAGGACACAGCAGTGAGCTGGAGAACTCGTTTGTCTTGCTTTGGAAATGACACAGGAACTAAATCTGCCCTCACTTTACAGCACTGACTTTTATGGGACTGCCTGGTGAAAACAGGAGGGCAGAGACAACCTGAAAAATGCAGCTACCTCAAGCCATAAGTAATCAAAAAGCACTTACACATGAAAGAAACTGCTACAGAAAGCTACAGATGCTGAGAAATGTTCAGTCCAAACTGGACTTTCTGTAGCTTGGTTGTCACAAAGGTGAACATTTCCAGCAAATGTGAAAATAATTGGGAATAAAAAATCACTGAAACACATTTTAAATCCAGGGATAACAGACTGCTGAGAAACACCTCCCAAACCCAGCGTGTTTTAAGTGTTCAAACGTGAAATTTAAGTTGTGTAAAGCAAGAAAAAACAGTTTCTCTACAGAGCCAAGGGTGGAGCTCAGGGTGCTGCACCCAGGGAACGTGGCTGCACCCCCAGGCTCCCAACTAGGGCACCCCCAGAGCTGCTGTGGGCACAGGAGGCCCCTTGGGGAGCACCAGGCACCAGAAATATTTCAAGGACATTCTGGGGCCTCAGGGGTGTTGTTACGGTTTGTGTAAGATATCTTTAAGCAAGGTGCTTAAAGAAATAAATAGGTCAGAGCCCGGAGAGGTTGAACAGTTGGGAACAAACCAAGAAAGTTCCTAATTGACCCAGGTGATCCTGGCACAAACCTTGGAATGACTATCCCAGAAATGGGGCGTGGGGTTCAGCACCATCCCCAGGCAGAGCTGGAGGTGCCCTCCTGTCTCACCAGCAGCCAGAGCCATCCAGTTCAGCATCCTCATCCCAGTGGAAAGGGGATTTTAAAGGATTTCAAAAGGAATGTTGCCTTGGGAAGCAGATAAATGGTACAACTCCAGCTCATGGTTTTGCTTGTTTGTAACCAGAACAGTAAAAGCCATCAAACCCACCCAGGGTTGAAAGAGGACAAACCCACTCAGATCCCAAGCAACAGAACCAAGATGATTCTGTCATTCCCAAGCTGAACAATAACTGCCTGGCACTGGGCTGTCTCTTTAAGGAGCACCCAGCTGCTCAGTGCAAAAAAAAGCCAATACAAAGTTGCTGGGTAAGGAAACTGCCTTTCCCTTATTTAATCATTACAGCCTTTCCTGCTCCCTTCACCTTCAGAGCAGTGACCTCTGGATGGCCTCAGCAGTTCCAAGGCTTCGTGGTCAGGGATCTGTCACACACACACCTCTGCAAATCACAGGAGGGGTCTGGGCTCTGTAGGAATAACCAGGGGACCTGGGTCTCTGCTGTGACACACACCAGGCAAACAAGGCACCCAAGATGAGGAGCTGGAATGACTGTGTAATTCAAACAGGTTGCTTTCATGTGAAGAGCCAGAGAGGCTGCTGCAGTCTGAAAGACTTCTGTACCATGGGTGAGATCCCCTTGTTACTCAGGGAATGATGTTCCCCAGCAAGCTCTGTCTCCCTGTCAGAGGGGCTGGCTCCCAGTGCTGGCAGAGGCCAGAGGTTGGCACGTCCCACACACCAAGTCCCAGCCCTGCAGGGCCAGCCCAGGTGTCACGGTGCAGCAGCCACCAAACTGATAAGCACATTCCTGGTGGAGTTTGGAGCGGTTGTTTCTCCCAGATAACAGGCTGGAAGGAGGCAGGCTCTGAGCCTTCAGATTCAGTTCAGTTAAACATTTCTGTACAGGTAATAAATTCAACCTGACTTCTCTGTTCCCCAGGAAGCACAACCTGGCACGCTCGCTGTGTGAGGCCGGGCTGGCTCTTGCACTTCCCCTCCCAGTTCAGCTGCTCCCAGCACTTCTCCTGGGCTTAGGGGACTCCTTATGTGAGAAAATCTTTCCATACACTCCATGAATTTGAGGCACATACTTATCACACTTTGCTGGACTCCTACTAGTCTTCATATGCAGCAAGATACATGTCTGTGAGTGCTGCAGGGCACAGACCTGCCTTCACTCCTCCTTTCTTGCTCTATGGAAGGTTTTTCACACCCCCAGTTTCAGCCCACATGCAGCAGCTGGATCCCTGGAATAAAAGTATGGAAAACTTCCTGAGCATCCCCAGCACCTTCAAAGTGGGAATCACCTTCTCCCACTTGCTAGCCAGGTTTTTGTGGCTGGAGGTCTGGAATGGAGCTGCTCACAGGGACCAGGCAAATGGGAAGGGAGTCTAGACAAGACACCTCAGTCCAAAATAAAATAAAGGAGAGAGATGGAAAGAGGAGAGGGAGGAAAGGGAACAGAGGCAGATGCAAGCAGCTCCAGGGTGCCAACGTTCTGCTAAGGGCAGACAATGTTGCCCAACCTCTAATTTCCCGACCCAGGACACATGCATAATAGATGGAGCAGCAGAACAAGCACTTTCAGTTCAGCCTTCCCATTAGGAAATACATTTACCAGCAGGTTCCCCTGCCCGTGCCAGGACAGCCCCCCCAGTGCCAGGACAGGCCCCCCAATGGGACCTTCATTAATTCAGGGAAGTGCTCATTACAACCCCCCTGCACCAGCTCTCCCTGGCCCTGAGATGCCAAGGCTGCCAGATCTACCGTGGAAGAGCCACAGACAAAGCAAACACCAGAACATGTCTTTCCACTGGGAGGAAACAGGCATTTCTTACCTCAGGTGGCAGAAATCCCACCTTCACTGTAAAATGCTTTTACCAGACGAGCCACATCCTCAGAGCCCCTGTCGTGCTCCACCAACATGCCTTACCTAGCCTTCAATTCTTGATTTTCTGCTCTCTCCCATCTAGATCACACCTTAAGGTGTGACCTTAAAGCCCCCTCTTTTCACAGCCAGGAGGTTCGTTTGAAATGTTTTCCAGTTAAACTCCCCGAGGACACCAAGGGAAGGTGCTGCTTTCCTGGCCACTGTTGCACTTTTTCTTCGATTTTCTGCAACACAGCAGCAAGGAAGTAAAACCTGATACAGACGGTGAGAAAACCACACGTTCATGTCTCTATTCCGTGCTCTGCACACATCCAGCCGGTCTACCCAGAAAGTCATTCCCATGATTTAAATTTATTTTTCTAATGTCGTTGCCACAAGGGGGAGGAAGGAGGCACATCAGACGCGTTAATGAAGCAGCCTAATAACGACGCTGCCGGTGCTGGGGTTTAAATCTGCTTTATTTCCACTAGAGGGAGGAAGTAACTCATGGGACAAGGGGGTGCCTGCAGAGAAACAAAATTCTCCAGCGCAGCTCACACCAGAACTGCCCTTCTCAGGAGCCTGAAGTCCTGTTTCCTACACGAGGCTCCTCATCTACTTTGCTGCCAAGTCCTTTTGCGAAAGCACCGATGATTGCAAAGTTGGAAAAGTTTTATGGGACGCATTTAGCTTAAAACAGACCATTCATTGTTGATTCAGGCTTATGAAGGTAATAAAACCAAGACACACGCTGCAGGCAGTAATCACTGCGTTAAGTTTTATCTCTCTGTTCCATTCAAAGGTCTGAAATGTAACTAAGAAACAGGAGCTTGTTCAGTGCAGAAGGGCCCACATGCACATACCAAAGTATTTCATGTGTCCACAAAACTGAAGGACTGAAAAGTGCCGTTGCAGAGAGCAAGCAGCCGACTGGTTCATCCAGCCACTTAAAACAGGGTGGAAAACAAACTCCTAACCCAGTGTGTTGCAGCTGAAATGCTAATCACGCTCCTAAGGAAACTCCCACAGCAAATCCAGAGTGATCTCCTCACCAGGACAAGAGAGCAGAGATTCGACCTATCACCTGAAACCACTCAACACCAAATTTGGCCATCCCGTGGCACTTTGCCAGCGAATGCAGACAGAGTTCTCCTGCCCAGTTTACCGAGGTTACATAAAGGACTGGCAGCTCCTCTTCCACAGCCGGGACGTTCCCAGGACCAGTTGCTAAGCAGTTCTGCTCTGCCCGTCCTTGCCTGTGACTGGACTGTAAAACCACCTCTAGCGAAAAGCCTACCAGGTCAATCCAAGGAGCTGGATGTACCTCCAGGGGAACACGGCAAGCACATGAATGCAGCTGCCTGGATTTCAAGGGTTCTAATCCACTAGTTTTGCTCAGTAGGGACCCTCTGTTCCACAGCAGAAATGGCAGAGGTCACCATCCTCTTCCTCCGTGCTTGCCTGGCGCTGCTTGCCATGCCCATCTACCTGCTCTCCTTCCTGGGCATATGGCAGCCCTTCTGCAGGAAGGTATTTTTCCCTTTCTTCTCAGATAAGTGTTCTGCATATCACCAGAAGAAAGTCAAGAAGCATAAGCAGGAGTTATTTCGTAACCTACCTGACTTCACCAGCCCCTCGGGAGAGCTGAAGCTGCTGGAGATCGGGACCGGCTGCGGCATGAACTTCCAGTTCTACCCACCAGGCTGCAAAGTCACCTGCACCGACATAAACCCCAACTTCCAGCAAAGCCTGTTGAAAAACCTAAGCAAGAACCAGCACCTCCAGTACGAGGGTTTCCTGGTGGCTGCAGGAGAAGACTTGCACCAGGTGCCCAGCAGCTCCGTGGATGCCGTGGTCTGCACCCTGGTCCTCTGCTCCGTGAGCAACATCACTGGCACCCTGAGAGAGGTTCTGCGAGTGCTCAGACCAGTGAGTATCTGAAGAAAAAAGTTCTGTCACTGCCTTTATTCCACAGGTGCTGCACCAAAAAATGGGAAATAGAAGTTGGTTTTGAGCTTACAAACCAGACCCGGTTGATTTCCCCAGTTAATTCAGATTTACAACCACTCTGCTAAGTGGTGCAAAGCAGTATCAGTCTGTCCTATTCCTACAGTAAAACCCTAGAAATAACATAGGCTGCTAATTAGAACTGCCACTGGCTTTATAAGTAATTATAATACACAGAGAACTGGTTCCTCTGGTGTTGCCTCTCCCCACATGCACCAGATTTTCTTTGGGTGGGAAGCTCTCTGATCAAGATTGAAAGTCTGCATTTCAAATCAACTGCTCTTAGAAGTGGGGCTGATCTACCAGTCTAACTAGGCACCTTCATTCCCTGCAGAATACTAATCAAGCTAAAGATCTTTCTAAAAGCAGTTTTGCTGGGGTATTTTTGCAATGAACTTTCAGCCTTTAAAACGACATTTTCAAGACGATCTTCTGGGTTGTCAAAAACTGATGAGTTTGAGTAGGATTTGTATGTTTCTCTTTGTTTCCTTCACAAAAAATGCCATGCTGGAAGCTGTAACTGAAACAGAAAGACAACAAACTATTGCTATAATAAAAGAAGGATGAAATAAGTGCATCCTTCATGCTTTTAGAACAGGCATTTTGAATCTCTGCAACTTTCTTGCTTACTTTAATTCCACTGACACCACAGGAGCAAAAGGGCAGGCAGGAGAGGGGTGGGAGAACAGTCATGAGTGAGCAAACAGCACATCCACGGGTCTGTGTTTGCAGGGAGGTGGGATGGGGGCAGAAGTTGGGCACAACCCCCGCGGCTCCATGAGACGACTTTTTGTTTTCCCCAGGGAGGAGCTTTCTATTTCTTGGAGCACGTGGCTGCGGATCGTTCCAGCTGGAATTATTTTTGGCAGCAGGTCTGCCATCCGACTTGGAAACTCCTCTTTGATGGATGTTGCATAACAAGAGAGGCATGGAAAAATCTGGAAGAAGCCAATTTCTCGGAGCTGAAGTTACGACACATCAAGGTGGAGCTGCCCTGCCCGCCCATCACTCCTCACATCATTGGCTACGCTGTGAAATAACCCTGGGCCTTCTCCCCTGCTCTCCCCAAAAATTCCTTGACATAATCTCTCCAAACACCAGGGCACAGGCTAATCCAGATGTCCCAATCTTGGTAACACGGGGAAGTACTTCAATTAAAGTTCCTGCATCGAGTGTGACGTGAGAAACAAAAAGAGGGTCAGTTTCCTAAAGGTCTTTTGGAGACCTCGTACTGCTGATGGTGCCAGACCCCAGCACAGCCCGCAGAGGATGCCAGAAGAGGTTGCAGAACACAAAACAGCCCTGAAGGCAGAAAATAAACATGTATTCATTCAAAGGAACTTGTGCCTACAACTGGTTTAAGCCTGGGAAAGGATTCCCTCAGGTGTTCCCTCAGCCACTCGACCCTCTCCCCACGCTCCACCATTGCCCTTCACCTCACAGCACGGGCAGCCAGACCCTTCACACTGAACTTTCTCAAAGTTTTTTCTCTAAAGTGTTTATTTACAAAACCCGTGGCAGGAACAACCCCCAGGGCCTCCCCCGCCTCACCAAACCCTCCCGCTCACTTCTCTGCCCCCCCGC